TATTAGGGTCAGGGGTGTGCACCAGGGTAGGGTTAGGGTTAGAAAAATGAGGAGTCCTGGCATGATTTTGATGGTTGGAATGTGTTTACAATGGGCAGAAAGGATGAGCTGTGCAGAAAAGCTACTCAGGGAGGCTTTTTCAAAATCTCATTATTTCCAGTGGAACTTTACCCCCATATTAGGGTTAGGCTTGTGCACCAGGGTAGGGTCAGGGTTAGAAAAACGGGGAGTCCCGCCATGATTTTGATGGTTGGACTCAGTAGCTTTGACTCGTCCGAGCTTTCGCATGGCCGGTCAGTGCGCTGGCAAGCGCGCGCGCGCATATACATATACATATACATATATATATATATATATATATATATATATGTATGTATATTTTGCTTGGACTGGATGTGTACTGTTTTGCTAAACAAATACTTCAGGTTTTATTGTAGTGTTGGCACTTAGCAACTAATACGTGGGTTTTGCGTTGCAGTGTGGGCACTCGGTATCTAAAAGGTTCCCCATCACTGTTCTATAGCCTGTCCTGGTTTTGCGGTCATCCTGAAGAACCAGGGCGGCCTCGCCGGCTTCCCCCAGCCCTGCTTGTGCTGTAGCTGAGTGCCCAGCTGGTTGGTTGCAAGACTGCCGTGCTTCAACCAAGCTATTTCAGTTCTGTATCGCCCAATAGCCAACTCTCTCTAGGAAAGTCACAGCAATTAAATACAAAAGATACAATAAAAATATCAACACAATAAAGCACAGTACACGATTCTAGTATGCAAATTAAGACAGCTAAAAATTCCAATATACAAAAAAGACTAAGCATGTAAAACAATTTCATTAAAAATTAGACCTCATTAAAAGTGGAAGACACAAACCCTCATATGCCAATTAGGTATCATCAGATGCCTGGAAATAGTGTGTTATTTTCACCTGATGTCAAAAATGTGACAACGCAGGCACCAGGCAGGCCTCAGCCGGGGGACCACCCAACAATTTGGGAGGCCACCACTGAAAAGGCCCTCCTCATTAATGATTTCACGGTGAATGAGGAGGCCAACATGCCGTGTCCCTCCAATACCTCAGTTGGGGAGCTCGAAGCAGGGAGTCTCCGTCAGAAGTGTTCTTCTGGGCACGGAATTCAGCCCCTGAAGAGATGAGCGGGACAGGGAGGAACAGCTGCTGTAGTCCATTAGAATTCCCCTCCTCTCTCTCCAGGCTTTTTATCTACTCCAGTGTCATTCTGGGCTGCCTGAATCCAGCACAGGGTGCGTGGGACAGATCTGGGATCACACTGGGTGGGCTATCCCTGCTGCTGCCCACCCATCCGCCTGCCTAGCCCAGCAAATGCAACCTCAGGGGTGGTGTGAAGAGTCCTGAACAGGAAATCCTGACCAACTGTCATATCCAGGGCCGCCATGCCTGGAACAACTCATGCCTTCACAGCCACCAAGCGGTCCCAAGGTTTGGAGCAGGTCTAATTCCTGGTACAGGAAACAAGGGTGACTGGCAGATTTCAAATCTATCCCCTAGTCAGAGATCACTTCCTTTTCAAACCTAGGCCGGTAGGAACCATGCCCCTCTGCAAGGGCGGGAGACCCGCTGGGATCTGCTCTTTAGTGAACGTCTGAGCATGGGAAAGGAAGCGAGCTGGGAGAGCAGTGGGAGGGAGGTGGAGGAACGCTCATCCTCCGTCCAGCTAGCTGAGTGCCCCTTGTGGAGCCTGGTCGGCAGCGATGGTCTGCAGGAGCAGCAGCAAGTGGTCCTTCTCACCACCACGCCCCCTCAGTGCTGTCCACGCAGAAAGGCGGCGTGGACTCTGCATTCTGGCCTGGAGAAAAAGCCGTTAAAGTCCTCTCTAGCATGCCATGACACCTTACAGGCCCCAAGACTGGTGCAGGTGGAGATGTCCAGGGCAGCATCTGGTCAGATGCAGCTACAAAATTCTCAGTTTTAATATGCAGGACATTGAGAAGGTACTTATTCGAGTTCAGCCGACCACCTGCTCGCTTGGCTCTTGCCTTTTGTACTTATTGCACCTAGAAAGGGAAGGGAACTCCCAGAGATTGTGTGTTTCTCTCACATAAGAAGACAAAAAGCCATGCCGGAGCAGCCCGGAGGTCCAGTAGTTCAGCACCCCATACGCACAAGGGCCCCTTAAAGAGAGCGTCCCCCTCTTGTGAGGAAAAGCTTCCTCCCAGTCAGAGCATGCGGCAGTGGGACCAGCTGCCCAAGGGAGGGGGGCTCTCCCACACTGGAGACATTCAGGAAGAAACTGGGCAGCCACCTGAGTGGGATGGGGCACACTGGGGTCCTGCGCTGCAGGGGGTTGGACTTGATGGCCTTCGTGGCCCCTTCCAACTCTCCTATTCTATGGTTCTTAAAGCATGGCCATTTCTGGAAAAAAATCAAGAAATCTTGAGGACCAGGAACCAGCACCCCCTTCCTGGCAAGGTGCTCAGACATGTGGTGAACAGATATAGGCAACCTTGGATAGAACTAGTTTCCCCAGTCAATTCAATCAAGGTTTGGGCCTGGCTTTGGCACTGAACCCACCTTTTCCCTGGGGAAGGAAAGAAGCAGGGGCCTCGTGGCAGCTTCTGATGCCATGGCGCGCAGCATCCTTCCAACAAGCTGCTTGAGCTGCAAGTGGCTCCACCGGCACCCGAGTGACCATTTCCAAAAGGTGGGGCTCTTGGATTTCTCGCTGAATTCATGCTTTGAGGCCCCAAAGCTCCATCTTATCCTTCATTTTATTTAACACACCCACATGAAACCACCAAGTCATGTCAACTGGAGGTTTCCACTGAGGGGCCACCGGTATGCTTTCTCACGTCACATCAGGTGAGGCAACAGAAACGATGAGGTGGTGCCCTGACATGGTAATAGGCCAAGTAAAGGCCAATTAACTGAAGCTCAATCCAATTAACATGGTAGTACCATTGTGAGGCGGTTTGTCTATCTGGAGTACAACCCATTCTGGAGAGGCTGCAGTCCATGGAAGGATCCTATTTTTAGTTCACAGCTGCTTATGGATTCATCTCTGGTACTAGAGGGACAAATCTGCTGTGACACAAAGCCCCTTTTAGCAACCTAGGCTGGCTGATAGTGGACAAAGATAAGCTAAGCTCCAGGGAACAATGCCTTGCTAACCTCCTGCTTAGATTACTGCAACGTGGTATATACAGGGCTGCCCCTGAAGACTATCTGCAAACTTCAGTTAGTTTTCTTTCCTACTGTATCATCTGCATTGCCTCTTGGTTTGCTTCCAGGCCCAGTTCAAATGCTGGCTTTTATTTCTACAGCCCCGAAGAGTTTGGGGCCATCAGAAAGGCTGCCTCTTCCAAGTACTGCTTCCTTCCCATTTCCTCCGAGATCTCCACCAGCTCTGCTCCAAGCAGCTACACGTGGAGAGGGGCGCAGCAAATGGCTATCAGGAGCAGGCCCTGGCTGCCCCCCCCCCCCCGTTATGGAGCACTCCTCCATGAGGTCTACCTGGCACCTCCCCAGTGCCTTTTTGGCACCCTGGCAACATATATTCACTCTTGAAAGCCTTAAAACGGCTGCATTTCTGCATGAGTTAACCTCTGCAAAAAAAAAACTTAGATCTTTATGATTTTTTTGGCTGTGTCTTGAGAATACTGGTTTTCTCTTGCATCTCTATGTGCCACCTTGAGAGCTATTAATTATAAGATGGCTAATAAACTGAACATATAAAATACCTCAGCAAAGCCCCTCTTTCCCACTAGCATGCTTAATAGGAACGCTGACACTTGGGAAAAGGCAGGCGGGCCCTGCCCAAGAGCGCTCCCTCTGAGTTAGAGATATGCAATCAGATCCTGCTTGAAGTGTGATTTGGCTCAGAGTTTTTGTGATACCAGACAATTTGTTTCCACTTCCTTCTCACATCAGCCAGCGTCACCTTTGACACACACCTTACATCCAATTGGTATTTTTATTGGGCATGAATACTGAAAAGATAACCCTGATCATTTTAAACACAACCGACTGTTCAGGGCTTGCAAACGTGAAACCAACAGTGCTTGAACGGGGTCCTGCAAAGGATGCCTTTGCTCTGCTTGCATCAGGTTCTTCTGGTCTTAAAATCACCTGGAACTTTAGCACTGGCACCTAAGAGTTCGACAGTATTTCCAGCCTCAGGCTAAGATGAGAAATTATTGTTGTGCAGAAAAAGAGGCAAGATGGATGTATAAAAATCACAGGTGCCAGAGTCCCTTAGCTGTCACCATGTCATTTTAATTTGAACTTTCTATATAGCCATTCCATTTAAGCTTTCAAGCAGTTTGCATTTATGAAAACCCTGGGTCTCCAGTGAAAGAGCTGGATCAAGTGGGCTGGCTTAGAGCATCTTAACGGCCAGCATCTAAAACGGGCAATTTTACCATGTTAGATCCTGATGCGTGCTGAATCAGACCAAGTAAAGCGGAGCAACAATCTAACAGAATACAGATTTGCTATCAAATATTTATAAGTTGCCTTATTTATAGTAAGCCCTCCCAAGGTGATGCATACAACAGAACCCGAAAGGCACAAAACACAAAGCTCAAAATCAACATTTTAACCCCAAGAGCATCATACGAACCACCCCGGTTCAGCCCAAGCTCAACTACAGACCAAGGCAAACTGCTCTCGAGGCCAACTTTAAGATCTGCTGCAAAGGGGCCTGGCAGACCTCACCCAGGACAGAGCTCCCCGCCGTCCCCAGCGCTGCCTCTTCACCGCTGCCGAGGGCTGGTTCCACTGTGCCATCCTGCCACTCATTAGCAGTTCAGACACACGAGCGAACCAGTTTCCACAGTTCGCTTGTGCACGAACTGCAGGGCTGCGCTCCGAAGCCACAGTGGCAGTTGTGGGACAAGAACAGCTTAGCGGGTGCGTTTGCAACACCCCAATAGCCAAAGTCACATTTTATTGGCGATTCCGTAAGTGAAAGTGTTCACTCCCAACATCCATGCTCTACACGGTAACGGGGTACATCCCAGATGCCTAAAACTTAATAATGGAACCAAGGAAGCCAGCATTTGCCCCACTCCTCTGCAAGATCGGATACCTGCCCCAAGGTACATGAAACAACTTCCCAGCCTTGTCCATTTTGCAATCCTCCAAAGAGGAGCATAGTGCTAGGATCCCATGGCAAACTAAGTGCTAATTTCAGAAAAGGTGATTGAAATCCACGCTACAATGCCAGAGAATCAAAGTTACGATTTCTGTGGTACAATGGCTTTATAGCTTGCCATTTTCTGCCTGGCAGAATTTTGCATTTTAAAGAAAACTTGATCTTTAAGCCAAAGAGTTCACATCCCAACACTATGAAAACCGCTGCATTTTCTAACAACATTTAGGAATGAGAAATCAATGGCTTCTGAACAGCACGCTTCTGCTCATTACCACTGCGCTGATTTTTACCAACAGACCTCCCCTCCATTAACATGTAAGTCTTTTAAAGTTCCTCTTATTTTAATGGCAGCTACAGTATCCTGCAGCATCGAATTCTAAAGCTTAATCAAACATTGCACAAAATATACCAACAAACACAGACCTAACAACATGCTTGCCAAGAGTCATAACCTCCAGGCTGCAGGATTTCTCCAGGCTTGTCCCCAATTTCTCTTTTAGGCCACAACTGGTTGAAAGAGTTACATTTTTGAAGCAAACAAGCCAGTGACTCTATCAACTTATTCGCAAGACTTGCATACATACACCCGTGTTATCGGATACCTGGTGGGGCTGCATTAGCGAATGCATTTAATTTCTTCTCCATGCCACTGTGTTAACCTTTCCCATGTTCCTTTTCCCCCAGGACAGAACCTCCCCTGCAAAACCCACCTCAGCCAAGTCTCCGATGGCTTTAGTTGCCTTTTTCTGATTATCCCGCAGGCGCTCTTTCCAGCGATCAGAGCCACATGCAACAGCGGGACGTCTCCCCGCAGATGCCAAGGGTGGCCTGCAGAACTCCGAGGACAAGACCCTGAAGGCCACAGACCGCAAGCGACACGGGTCGCAACTTGCCACGGCCGGGCAGCATCCAGGGCTTGGCCCAGAGGCAGCTCCTGGGTGCGGAGAAGCGACCGCCCTGGAAGCTAAGCCCCCATCTTGGGTTTCGGCGCACACCGAGGGCAGAGGGTAACAGGCATGAAACCCGAGCTTTTCAAAATCCATGTTTCGGCGTGGCAACGACCTTTCCCAGAGGCGCAGGCCCCGCCAGCGCTCCAAGAACGGCGCATCCCGCCGGCAGAGGCGGCTGCGGAATCGCGCGCGCCCCGCGGCGTCGCTGGACACCTCCAAAAGCCGCTCCGCTCGCGCTCGGCGAGGCCTGA